AAATTTTCCATTTTATTACATCTGCTGACTTTCATTTATGGTATTTGCTTCCTCTTATTTTATTTATTTTTTCCCTCTTATGGGAGTCTAGGGTCCTAGATTGTGAAAGAATCTCTTCAAGACATTTTTGTGTTTGTCTTTGCCTCTTCTAAATTCTAGCAACTTTCCACACGCTTTTGTGTCTTGCTGCCTGATGTGTGTGAGGCCTGATTCCTACACATGTATGGTTATTATATCACAGCCACAATTAGGAATATCATACCTATCTGAGTCAAGACAACTGAGCCTTCACTGGATTCACTTGTGTCATATTTTGGTTTGGAGTCCCCACACCACACCATACATGTGTAGGAATCAGGTTCACACTTGCCATGTGCTTTCCCAAGGATGATTTCCTTCCTCTCTATGATCTCTGGTATTTGTGCAGCTTCACAGAACTGGTGAGAAGAAGCTTTTTCTAATTCCCATTCCATAGATACGGTAACCCTTTCTGCATACCCATTGTATGTAGTTATCTTACTCCTAGTTCATGTGGCCTCATGTGTGGATTTGCCTAACAGTACTGGGAATTTAAAGCCCACTGAAGCCATTTATGCCTTTATTTGTCTCTTAAAATTTCCTAAGTCATTAGCTCCCTATCTTCTTGCTTTATTGCTGGTCCCTTTCTTATGTCAAGGTCCCTTGAAAACTGATCAGACAGAAGAGATACATTGTATTGGTAATAATAATTTACAAAGGTAGGATGCTTTAGAGAGACTATATAAGGTATTCCCCTTAAAATTGTCCTACAGGCTTGCTTAATTAAGATTTTTCTAAAAGTTACAGAGCCGTAATTCTGAAACTTTGGCTTTGTAGTTTTATTCAAATTATCAGAACATAATTGTAGGTTATCTTTGGTCCTAGTCCACAAGGAAGATCATCAATTATTTAAGTTAACATTAAGTAATATCCATCTATCTCTCTAAGAAAGTTAAGATTATACCTGTTCATATTATCTTAATAGTTTAAAGCATTTTTTCATTGTGTTTGATTGCATTTCTATTGCTGCCAGAACTATTGCACTGTTTTAATGTAAAATAGACTTACAAGAAAGTTGGTTTATTTTAGTAATTTTTTTTCTTCTCCATGGAAGTATTAGGAAGGAAATCTATGAGTTGGCCTGTGTCAGGCTGAAAAATAGGCTCTACAGATATAGCCATGTCCTAACTCACGAAACCTATGAAATTTATCTTATATGGCAAAGGAGATCTTTGCAGGTATGATTAAATTAGAGACCTTGAGGTAGAGAGATTATCTTGGATTATTTGGGTGGGCTCCAAATGCAATCACATACAAATCCTTGACAATAACACCTAAGATACTTGATTTATGATGAGACTAATTTCAGTTCCAATAAGCCCATCATAAATTGAAAATATGTCAAAAATGCATTTAATACAGCTAACCTACTGAACATCATAGCTTAGTTTAGCCTGCCTTAAACGTGCTCAGAACACTTACATTAGCCTACAGTTGGGCAAAAGCATCTCACACAAAGACCATTTTATTTAAAAAAGTTGTCTGTCTTATGTAATGTATTGATTACTGTACTGAAAAACAGAATGGCTGTATGGGAACAGAATGGTTGTCAGTGCACCAGTTGTTGACCCTTCTGATCGTGTGGGACTGGGATCTGTGCTCGCTGCCACTGCCCAGATCATGGGAGGGGACCGTACTGCATATCGCCAGCCTGGGAGAAGATCCAAATTCAAAATTCGAAGCACAGTTTTTGCTGATTATGTATTGCTTTTGCACCATCCTACAGTTGAAAACTCATAAGTCGAGACACTGTGAGGGACCTTGTATCTTTTAAGTGCAGGCGGATTTGATACACTCAGAGAAGAGAGCAACATGAAATGGAGACCGAGATTTGAAGATGCTACTCTTGACAGGTGGAATGATGTGGCCACAAGACACAAAAACATGTGGAAAGTTGCTAGAATTTAGAAGAGGCGAAGAATGGATTCTTCCCCAGACCCTCTGATAGAAGGAAAGCCTTATGTGTTATTGGTTGAATATGTTGTGTTTCCCTGATTCTTGTATTTTCAAAGGAAAGAATTCAATCAAGAGACAGACTTAGGACAGTGTTAAACTACAGGAGTTTATTAAGCAAAGCATAACTACACTCAGAAAGAGTGGAGAGCGGCTATCTGGAGACCAGAACAACATTGTTATTAGGGTTAGGTTGGCTTTTATGTTTTTGTAAAATGGCAGAAAGTCCTGCCCTGTGTTTTACGTCTTTTGATTGACAGGTTGATTGACAGCTCTAGGTTATATAACTGTTCTCAGTGTGCAGGCACTGTACCAATAAATACCTAAGTGAAGCCCCCTGGGGGGACAAAACCACAATGTTAATTAGATTTTGTGGTTATTTTAATGAGGTGGCGTTACTTCTGGACCAAGTCTTTGGACCTTGCTCATGCCCTGTAATCAGGGAAGCCCCTGTGGTCCTGGACCTCTTGACAGTCTAGGTGTCCTTGACTGTCTGGGCCTCCTGATAAGCTTGGCATCCTTGACTGTGGAACTGGGAACTAAGGAGGGCTTAGGGTTTGGCCAGGGAGGACTCCTCCTTAGTGATGGACTGGCCCCTTTTTCCTGCTGATGTCTGCCTACTCTAACACCTTGATTTCAGCCCATTCATCCTGATTTCAGACTTCTGACTTTCAGAACTGAGAAACAAACAATTAAAAAATAGGGAATGGCTTAGCATTTCTTTTGAATTTCCTTCTTATTTTAACGTTTTAATCTTTTCTTTTAAGATTTTGCTTAACAGGTAGACCTTTGTTATTTGCCAGATGTCTTAGTTTGCTCAGGCTGCTATATAGCAAGTTACCATAGACTGGGTGGCAAAAATAACAAACACTTAATTCTCACAGCTCTGGAGACTGGGAACTACAATGTCAAGATGCTGGCTGATTCAGGTCTTGATGAGGGCACTCTTCCTGGTTTGTAGACTGCTGTCTTCTTGTATCCTCACGTGGAAGAGAGAAAAAAGAAGCAAGTTCTCTCATGTCTCTCTTCACAAGGGCACTGATCTCTTTACCTCCTAAAGGCCTCACCTCCAAATGCCATTACCTTGGGGATTAGGGTGTTAACACAGTAACCCAAGAAAAACAGATTCATTAAATGAGTTGATTATACTTCCAGAAATTAACAGTTAACTCCCTTGTATTATTAATGTAGCCTTCTATCAACTATATTTCCACCCATTTTTGTGGTAACAATGATAATAAACATTTATATGTATTCTGATTACAATTCAGTTATAATGGTTAATTTGTAGATATTAATTTTAATTATATTATAAATTCATTAAAAGTAAAAATTCTCATATAGATAAAATTGATATAAATCAGACTTTCTGATTTTAAAAAAACTACATGAAAGCATGGACATAGTAATAGAGTGTATCAACAACTGTATATATGTTTTGTTTTTAGTAATACATATTTCTTCTTGCTCTTTTTATTGTTTCAGTGTATGACACATGATAAAAAATGATCAGGCAGCTGTGGTTCTGAGCACACAGTATTTAGGGCTATTTTCCTTTTTTAAGCATGAGGAACTTTAGTAGGAACAAATGACAGTAAATGTCCATGAACTCTCTGAGAGATTTTTCAGAATCGGACCCCAGGCACATATTTTCTCATTTGTGTGGACATCTTTTTTAGAGTCACCACTGATAGATTACTCATATAGGAATATTTCAAACAGAAATGTAGGATGTGTTTTCAATAATGTGCTGTATTAAACCCAAGACAGTGTTTATTTGAAGTATATTATGGAATTTGAGTTAGAGATATCAATGTAAAATAATGCTTATTGTAGCCTAACAGAAACAATTATGGATATGTGTGCAAATGGGCTAGTAAGAGTACTTATAATTCCTAGTTCAGTCCTTGGGAGAGTCATAGAAGCAAGTACCTTAGTAATAAGGAATACACCTAGTGTCCATGTACTTCTTTCTAATACAATTTGCCACTTAAAGGAGCCAGGGTCCCCAGAGATATTGCTGAGTCTAGAGCTGAGGCAGGGCATATTCAAGATTAGCATGAACTATCTTGTAATGTAAGGAAGTGCTCCAGAAACAAACTGACTCAGAAGGTCACAAGGTCACAAAGACAGGTAAGAGAGCTCATGAAGACCAAAGCTGGAAAAATCTAAACAACAGGAAATCATGTACTACTGGATTATAACACAAAATACAAAGAGATATCCATGAGTTCATACTGATATATGTACGTTACTAAACGACTGATGAATATACAAACAAATGGGTAGGATGCAAAAATCTTTCTTGCGGAAGAATTCCGATTAAGTTTTGCACACATTTTCCCCCCAAGGAGTCGGAGCTTGACTCCCTATCCCAACTGTGGGCCGTATTTTGTTGATTTGCTCCAAAGGCACAGTGCAGAAGGAAAGAACAAACATTATGCTGATGATGTGGACCCTTCATATAAAGTGATGAGGGTGCTGTGACCTCTCAGCCCACCTCCAAAAACCAGTAGAATGAAAAAAGCCTTCCATATCCCCTTGGTCTAGTCATGAGAAAAATCAGGTAAATTCCAATTGAAAGACATTCTATAAATGTCTGATCATTATTCTCCCAAATTCCCAAGGTCATCAAAACCAACAAAATCTGAGTAACTATCCAGAGGAAGTTGAATTTAAAAGATTAAATTCAAGATGATCTCCAGCACAGAAAAAAGGATATTAGGAGAAAAACTAATGAAATCAGAGTAATGTATCAATATTGGTTCATTTCAGTTCTTGTAGCATGGTGTATCAAAAGTCGTGATGATGAAACCATTGTCATGTGAAAAGCTAACAATTGGGGAAATTGGATGTGGGGTATGCAAGAACTCTGAACTATTTTTGCAGCTTTTAAGCAAACATGTTCTAAGATAAATATATATTATAAAAAATATTTGACATTACGTCTTTGTATATGTTTGTCTTTCCAGTTCTGTTGGGTCTATCTGGGAACATTGTGTGTTTGGAAACCAACAGCACTTCAGAGTTTTAAAGGATGCCAGCCTTTTTAAAGGTAGGTGACACTTAAATATCATTAAGACACATGCTTTTTACCTCATAATAAATACTTCAGAATTCAAATTCTTTTAAAATCTACTTTTAAAAATATTTCTTTCATTAGAAATCGGGATATTCAAATATTTATATACTTACAGGTGGTTGACATAAACATGAGAAAAATGTGACATGTAACCAAGTCTTCTAGACTTAAAAATTTTTAAGCTTCTTTACTATATTTTTTTGACACTTGTTTCAATTTACATGCAGATTTGAGAAAACTTAGGAGCTATGTGTCTGGTAAAGAACAAAAATTGATTTTCTCCTTTTATATTTTTTTTATGACACTTTGCCGGCTCCCTCATGATTAGTGGATATTACTTCTGTTAAATTGGTTATATCTCATTTCAAAGGCAAACCTCTGATGAAGCTCTGACATAGGAAACAAAGAGACAGTGTCCCAAGTGTTCCTGTCTTCATTAGTATTAGTATGGTAGAGTCTGGTTCAGTTGTTTCTTGGGCAGGCAACGGGGGCTGCTTTTCCTTTGTTGATGATGGCAGGAATCTAAACTCTGAGATTTAGATACTTATAGTTAACCTTCTGGAGACAATAATTAAAATACTGCTTTGACACTCCCTGCTTGGTATTGTAGCATCTATTCTTAGACTGTAGTCAAAACAAGCTTTATATTCTCTGTTCTCAATCAGTGATCAATTAAGATTAACCATTGATACAATAGTATGGAAATAAATGTTAAAGAGATAAAGCAAATACGTAATTAACCAAAGGGGCTCTACAGATCTTGCTGTGATATTTTTTCAAATTCTCTTTGCTTTATTGTGTTTAATAAGTAGAAAAATTAAAACTTTTCCTTCTGTTTTTAAACTTTTCCTTTTTTTAATGGAAGTACAGTTGATATGAAATCTTATATTAGTTTCAGATATACAACATACTGGTCCAACAGTTATCCAATTATTAAATCTTCACCCCACCCACTAGTACAGCTATTACCTGTCAACATAGGAAGATGTTACAGAATCATTGACTGTATTCTCATGCTGTACTGCCACCCCCATGACAAACCTACATGTGATTGAAATTTTTTGTGCCTTTTCATTTTCCTCAGACTCCCCACCCACCCAGTCCAACCCTTCCCTGATGGTAACCACAGTCACTTCTCAGTGTCTTTGAGTCTACTGCTATTTTATTCATTCTGTTTGCTTTGTATTTATATTCTACAAATAAGCAAAATTATATGGTATTTGTCTTTCTCTACCCAGCTTATTTCACTGAACATAATACCTCTAGATCCATTCATGTTACAAATGACAGGATTTCTTTTCATATGGCTGAATAATATTCCACTGTGTATATGTACCACATCTTTATCCATTCATCTATTGGTAGACACTTAGGTTGCTTCTGTATCTTGGCTATTGTAAACAATGCAGCAATAAACATAGGGGTACATACATCTTTTTGAATGAGGTTTAACTTTTCTTTTATGAGATACATTTCAAAAAATGTTATGCTTTCATTATTTATAAGATTATTAACTTCAAGTGTCAGATTTGAGTAAAAATTACAAATTTTAGATAAAATTTTTCAAGATTCAAAGCTTGAAATTAAATCAAACACTTTATATCTCAAGTACTACTGATTCTTCATCCCTGTTGTCATCCACTTTATCCTTCAAGTTGTTCTCATCAATATTCAGAATTTCCATATGAAAAATATCTTACTTTTAGTGTGCAAAATCTTTGAATGCATATAGAAAATTGGAATAATTTTTAAATATCTGATCTTGAATGATTTGGGGCTGGAGGTTTCATACTAGATCCAACACTCAGACTGACAGCCTAGAAGAGCTTACTTAATACTTCTGATCTAATTCCTGCAGCCAGCAACTTGTCTTTCTTACAGAACCATGATTCCATCAACCTAAACACTATCTGTGATGTGATATAAGTAGGAGTAATAAAAAATTAATACTGCAACATACTAATTATTAATGCAGGATTTTTCATCTTTTTATGTAAAGCTTAATGAAGCATTAAAATATCCAAAGATCCAAATAAAAGAGAAGCACATTCTGTCCTTTGGTTATCTCTGTGCTATAATAGTAGATGAAAAGAAATATATGAGTTTAATGACTATTTTATATAAGAACAGTTTAAAGATAAAAAGTTGAAAAAAGATAAATTTAGAGAAATTTGAATGTTGACTTGTTTTCAATGAGGAAAGAGATCAAATTAATGCAGAAGACATTTGAAGAGAATGGCTTGAAATTGTTTTCCTTTTAACATAAGGGTTTTTATAGACTTCACATATGAAAATAGACATGAAAGTAATCTCAGTGGAATGATATAATAAAATAGAGAGTGATATCCAGGAACAAACAACTTAGCATTAAAATTTTGTCTTTCATTAATTTAATTTTGAATGAAGTTATGCTCTGGGGACTGTAGATGATCCCACCACCTCCTTTCATAAATTCTTTTTGAACATTGAAAGAGTAGTCCTTTAAACTTTTACAGAATTTAGTGTTTGTTCTACTCATCACTTATATGCATTTTGCCTAACACATAATTAGTTTAATTTATTATAAGTCATATGAAAATGAAAACAAAAAGAAAAGAAAGAAATCCTTTTTTCATAAGGTCAGACAGTAGTCTTTGATTATTTATAGAATATATTTTGTTCCAATGTAAAAAATTCTATGGTTGCAGAGAAGCTGGGATGGGATTTCTTCTGCCTGTTGTGGTTGAAAAGGGAGGGAGAGCAGAAAAGGGGCAGTTGAGCTGGACTTCAAAGATAAGTGGGTACAGATGTGTAAGGAATGGGGCACAGATGTATAAAAAGCATGAAGATATGTAATATTTTTTCATATTGGTGAATTTTAAACCATTTGGGGAGTTAGAGAATGCATTTTACAAGCATACTGTTTTGTTGTGCTTTGTTTTATTATGCTTCATAGTGATCACATTTCTTACAAATTAAAGGTCTGTGGCCACCTTGCATCAAACAAGTCTGTTGGCACCATTTTTCCAACAACATTTGCTCACCTTGTATCTCTGTTTAATTCTCACAATATTTCAACCATTTTCATTATTATTTTATTTGTTATAGTGATCTCTGCTCAGTGATCTCCGATGATACTATTGTAATTGTTTTGGAGCATCATGAACTGTGCCCATGTGAGACGGTGAACTAAGTGGGTAAATCTGTATGTTTTAACTTCCCTGCCAACTGGCCATTTTGTATCTCTCTTCCTCTCCTGGGCCTCCCTGTTCCATGAGACACAGCGGTATTGAATATGCCAGTTAATAATCCTGCAGTGACCTCTAAGTATTCATGTGAAAGGAAGAGTCATACATTTTTCACTTTAAATAAAAAGTTAGAAATGATTAAGCTTAGTGAGTAAGACATGGTGAAAGCCAAGATAGGCCAAAAGCTAGGCCTCCTGAGAGCCATGTTGTAAGTGCAAAGGAAAACTTCTTGAAGGAAATTAGAAGTGCTCTTCTAGTGAGCACACAAATTTTAAAAAAGCGCAGCAGTCGTACTAGTCTTACTGATGACATGGAGAGAAAGTTTCAGTCATCCAGATAGAAGATCAACCAGCCACAACATTCCCTTAAGCCAAAGCCTAATCCAGGGTGAGGCCCTAAGTCTCTTCAATTCCAGGAAGGCTGAGAGAGGTGAAGAAGCTGCAGAAGAAAGTTCGAAGCTAGCAGAGGTCACTTCCTGAGGCTTAAAGAGAGGCACTATCTCCACATCATCAAAGTGCAAGGGGAAGCCCCTCGTGCTGATATAGAAGCTGCCACAAGTCATCCAGAAGGTCTAGCTCAGATCATTCATGAAGGTGGCCCCAATAAAAACAGACTATGAGTGATGAAAAGTGATGAAACAGACTTCTCTTGGAAGACAGTGCCATTTAGGACTTTCATAACAAGAGAGCAGAATTCAATGCATGGCTTCAAAGCTTCGAAGGGTAGACTCAGTCTTTTGTTGGGACTAAGGCAGCTGGTGACTTCAAGGTGAAGCCAGGGCTCCTTTGCCATTGTAAAAATCCTAGGACCCTTAAAATTACACAAAATCTACCCTGCCCATGCTCTGTAAATGGAACAATAAAGTCTGAATGACAGCACATCAGTTTATAACATGATTTACTGAATATTTTTAAGCCCACTGTTGAGACCTACTGCTCAGAAAAAAGATTCCTTTTGAAATACTACTGCACACTGCCAACGTGCCCAGTCACCCAAGTGCTCTGATGGAAATATACACAGATACCTGAAATTAACACTGGTTTCATGCCTGCTAACACAGCATCCATTCTGCATCTCATCAGTCCAGGGGCAATTTCAATTTTCAGATCTTATTATTTAAGAAATAAATTTCATAAGACTATCACTGCCATAGATGTTGTTTCTTATGGTAGAGCTGGGCAAAGTAAATTGAAAACCTCCTGGAAAGGATTCACCACTCAAGATGCCATTAAGAACATTTTTGATTCACAGAAGAGGTCAAAATATCAACATCAACAGGAGTTTGATGAAGTTGATTCCTGCCCTCATGGATGACTTTGAGGGGTACAAGACTTAAGTGGAGGAGGTAACTGAAGATGTGGTGGAAACAGTAAGAGGACTAGAATTAGAAGTGGATCATGAAGTGTGACTGAGTTGCTACAATCTCATGATAAAAATGTTAACATATGGGGACTTGCTTTTTATGGATAGTCAAAGGAAGTGCTTTTGGTGTTTTTTTTTGAGATTGGAATCTGCTCCTGGTGAAGATGCTCTGAAGACTGTTGAAGGATTTAGAATGTTACACAGCTTAGTTGATGTGCAGTGGCAGGGGTTGAGAAGAATGACTCCAATTTTGAAAGAAGTTCTATTGTGGATAAAGTGGTATCAAATAGCATCAAATGCTACAGAAAAAGTGTTTGCAAGAGGAAAAGTCAACTGATGCAGCAAACTTCACTGTTGTCTTTATATTATGAGATTGCCACAGCC